TAATCTCTCAAAATTGACACTAAATCTTAGGTAAATTCAGTTTATTTGTTTTGTATTGTGATATTTTAAATTATGAAATTGAATTTAAAACAAAATAACTCTTTTAATTTATTTATTAAATTTTTATTTGATATAGTTTTCTTTTTGTTTTTTAAGATACTTGAGTTTATTTTTCTTCTATATTTCTTAATTTAACTCATTTTTTTATTTTTAACATTTTCTTTTATTAATTATTAATTCATTTCTTATTATTTTTTCATCATTTTTTCCTTCTAAATAACTATTTAGTTATTTATTTTTTCTTCAATATTTAAAAAGTGATAATTAAATTGGTGATTAAGGTATATCAGGTTTAGGTTTTGCTTTAGCAAATTGCACTAATCTCTCAAATTTGACACTTTAACTTTAGTAAAAACTGTTTATTTGTTTGTTTTTAATTATGATATTTTTAATAAAAAAATTTATTTTAAAATATTTTCTTTTTCTTTTTTATTATAGTTGTATTTATTTTTCTTAATTTAACTTATTTTTTATTTTTAACATTTGCTTTTATTATTTATTAATTCATTTTTTCTTCATTTTTTCCTTCTAAATATTTAATTAATGATATATTTTTTCTTCCAAATTAAAAAGTGGTAATTAAATTGGTGATTAAGGTGCATCTGGTTTAGGTTAAGCTTTAGCAAATTGCACTAATCTCTCAAAATTGACACTAAATCTTGGGTAAATTCAGTTTATTTGTATTGTGATATTTTAAATTATGAAATTGAATTTAAAACAAAATAACTCTTTTAATTTATTTATTAAAATTTTATTTGATATAGTTTTCTTTTTGTTTTTTAAGATACTTGAGTTTATTTTCTTCTATATTTCTTAATTTAACTCATTTTTTTATTTTTAACATTTTCTTTTATTAATTATTAATTCATTTCTTATTATTTTTTCATCATTTTTTCCTTCTAAATAACTATTTAGTTATTTATTTTTTCTTCAATATTTAAAAAGTGATAATTAAATTGATGATTAAGGTTTATCAGGTTTAGGTTTTGCTTTAGCAAATTGCACTAATCTCTCAAATTTGACACTTTATCTTTAGTAAAAACTGTTTATTTGTTTGTTTTTGATTATGATATTTTTAATAAAAAAATTTATTTTAAAATATTTTCTTTTTCTTTTTTATTATAGTTGTATTTATTTTTCTTAATTTAACTTATTTTTTATTTTTAACATTTGCTTTTATTATTTATTAATTCATTTTTTCTTCATTTTTTCCTTCTAAATATTTAATTAATGATATATTTTTTCTTCCAAATTTAAAAAGTGGTAATTAAATTGGTGATTAAGGTGCATCTGGTTTAGGTTAAGC